AGATAGATTTCAAATAATTATGTATCTTATCACATTAAGAGTTTCCTATCATATATGTAGGAAGATACATCCAGATACATGTATTTTTGCTATCAGATACATTAAAATAGAGAGAGAACCAAACAAGTGGAGAAAGGCGAGACACACTAGATACATGCATCTATATGTATCTGATGTGATTCATTCCAGATATTTATGAGAGTAACGAGCTATGTGGGAGGGAAGTGAGCGAGTTTTGTCTATGTATCTCAAATACATGTGAATTTACTTGGATACATTGTATCTAGAACATATTACACATAATTTTGACCCAATGTATCTCGAGATACATGAATCTGGATGTATCTGGACGCACCAAAATCTAGTAAGATTTGTAATATTGCAAACTAGAGTATACCAATGTAATTAGCTCCTAAATTAATGGGATTTCTATAATTTTTCCTTCTTTAAACCGTTTGTTTTAGTCATTTTTGTGGAAAACAATAAAAAGAATCGTACAAACAATTGGTATTGTTAAAGAAGATTTTAAAAAAATGAGAAGAATTATTAAATGATTTTGAGCTATTATATACTACATTTGTTGTGTAACATATTATAACAAGTGATTTTATTTTCTAGATTAACTAGCAGCTTCAGGTTCAAATTTCTGGGAATGGAAAAAAATAGGTCCCTACCTTTAGAAATGAATTTTGTAATGTGCGAATTTAAATTTAGTCCGATCTCAATATAAATATCAAACATCGAACCGAAATCCGAAAAAACACCATGATGATATACAAATATCACACACGTCTAGTGCATAACACGAATTATTGTACTCATTATTCTAAATTAATTAATACATTGACTTATTTTCCCTTTAAAAATACTAAAAATGTGTATACATGTGCACATCACACATGATGATAATTTGTATAAAAAAAATTATTAAAAAGATATTTGTAATATAAAATGAATTATGTGTTTGCAAATCGTATCAATTACAGAGTTCGATTGTACTTTCATATAAAAAATAATAATATTAAATTGGGAACAATAAAATATTTAATATTCTCTTAAAACTTTTGAGTAATATGAGAATGTAGCAAAAAGTTCCTTGTTGTTTGAGCTTTACTCCACAGCCCAAAGTGATTGCCCGTATCAATGTTTCAACTCACATGATTATCTCGATATTCGTATTGAGATTCAATTATATCTAAATTTATGTTTCGATAATTTTTCATGTGAATATTTCATTCAATATAAAACTTGTTGTTTCAATATTTGTATTGAAATTCGATTATATCTGAATTTATGTATATTGATAATTTTCTATGTGAATATTCCGTTCAACATAAAACCTATGATTGGTAGCTCCAATAATTAATTCACTCATTAAGATCAAATTCACTCTTTATAGAGTTCTTTTAGATATTTTCTTACAAACATTTATTACAACGTTTATGACAATTTTTAATTTAGGTTGACAACTTGACAATTATAAATCTACAATATATAGTACTATAAGAACTGGTACAAATTGTTAAATTAGGTCTTAGGCCCAACTCACACCCCAAAAGCTAGCTCAAAGGGAGGAGGATTGCCCAAGCCTTATAAGGAGTCCACTCATCTCATTAACCACCGATGTGAGACTTTTGTCATTCTTTAACACCCCACCTCACGCCCAGTGCTTAGCATCTGGTGCGTGGGCAATTTTGATTTTGGGGGTCCCAACATCGGGTGAGACGGGCCCTGCTCTGATACCATATTAAATTAGGTCTTGGGCCTAACTCACATTCTGCTTATAATTGTAAAAACTCTCATAGCAATAACATTTTTTAGTTCAAACAATTTTATTTTATTTTTAATGAGATGATTTATAATCACGCATAAATATCAATAATGTGTTTTAGACTTTATACTTGTTAATTTTATTTTTAAATGTCGTACTCAATCAAATATCATCACATAAAACGAGACGCACCGAATAGATATTTTGGTGGCAATAATCTTAACTCCAAATTTGATTGATCAAAACTCTTGGGGTGGGGTGGGTAGGGGACCTAACAGCTAGCAAATTAAAAGCCTAGAAAACTCTTGGGGACCAAAAGTTCATGAATTTTTGTACCTCAAAAGTGCCTAATGGTCGAGCTTATTTTAGATATTATTTACTTGTCTTTTTTCATGTAAAAAAATATAATATAGGGTAGTGTTAAATGAGCAGAAAATTTGATCAGAAATTTTAAAAAATTGTAATATCTTTTTTATTTTAAAATAAACCGATCTTTTTTCCATTTTTTAGTTAAAATGTATTAAAGTTAAAAGGGTAAAAATGTTTTAAAAGGTAAAATAACATTGGTAAATATCATTTTGGCGCCAAATTTTCTGGCAAAAAGAATTTTTCCTATAATATAATATATAAATTTAGACATTTCTTATTATTATACATTTTGTTGTAAAATATAATATAATATATAAAATCTTATGATTTTGCATTATTGATTCATTATTAAAAATATTATTAATCCCTAAAAAGATGAATGTCGTGGTGTTCTAACAACAATAATTTTTATAAAAAAAAAATTGATGAGCGAAATTTGTTGATACAAAGAAAAAAATTCAAGAAAATTATGTGTAGACCATAATTTATATCAAATTATATGATTCTTGTGATCTCAAGACGATTGCGACTACTTATATTCTATATAAAAAATGGAAAATAATTTGTCACTTTATTCAATTGCCCATTCGAAAGTATTTGACTTCAGAATATTTTGTTCCCTTTTTTTCTTGTTCCATGAATCAAATACCTATGTAGAATAGTTGAAGTGTATATAAATTAATTCAAACATTATTATTATACAGAAAACATAATTTTATTGGTTGTACATATAACTATTTATAGTAACAAGGTCAAATTCAAAGTAACAAACATTAAATTCTCGTGAACATTTTGTCACATGAATTTCGTACTTAGGTTATAATGTTGTCTACACTTTTTATTTTTTAATATTTTTTAAGTTGCTTTATTTTACATATTTAATTAGGCAAGTTGTCATTCACTTTTCATTTATTTGTTGTTTATGATATTTTGTTTTCATTTATGTAGACAAATTAACATGCTTTATAAAATTATAAAAGCACATATATACAACTCTATATGTGGCCTACACAAAAGATATATCATGTGATTTGTTTCATATTTTTAGTTAATACTATAGAACAATATTGTTATGGATTTAATTTGTTTAATGATTATGTTGTTGTTCTTTTTCTTTTAATAAATAAATAAATTAATTATTTGCCTCATTTTATTTATATTTTCTTCTGTTTTATATATATATATATATATATGGAGTTATGTTGACAATATAAAAAAACCTCACACCCAAAGGTTACAGCTAGTTGGATGGTTAATATACCCCTCTATCCTAAATCAAAGTTTTCGAAATTGAGTTCTAGAAAATATATGGAGCAATTTACCTCTTAAAGTAAAACTTTTCGATGTGAAATCAGATTTGTCGACCCTAAAGCAGGTATGAGAGACCTAGTGGGAAAAAAAAACGAAAAATTACTTCTTCCCACAAAATGACAATTTTTAGAACAAAGTACCTTTGGTAGAGAGTATATATTTTAACCCTTGAAAAGGTGATTTTTTTTTATACAAATTCAAATTAGTTAGTCCCAAAATGAGTATCATAGATTGAGTGGGAAAAACGAACAACTTCTTCCCATAAGTGGATTTTTTTTATATAATTCCGATTAATATGCCTCAAAGCAGATATCGAAGATCGGATAAAGAAAAAAAAATCAATTTCTTGCCACAGGAACCCTGAGAGAACAAATCTCAAAGGTAAAAAGTCTACCAACCAAAAGTTTTTTAACTTTGTACTGACTTTATTGTCATTTGTGTACTTTAAAATAAAATAGTAATATCCTTTTCCTCTGGACTAGGAATGAATAAAATCATAATAAGACATTGGTGAAAAAGGATGACAACTAATTACCAAAAACTTTGTTTAAATTCATTCTATCTTATGGAATGGACAAATATGTACAACATACTTATAACACAAATAATTAAATTATTAAACGGTAATATCTATGAAAAGTTTTTTGACTTTGTAATTGTATTATCTTCATGTCATTTTGTACTTTAAATAAGTAACACTCCTTTGTTTTTTATGCACTAGCAATGAGTAATATGTGATAATTGGAATTTAAACATTTAATTAGAAATTTTGAATTCAAAATTTTGGAAACAGATAACTACTAAGGAACGTTTTACCTTTTCGTAGATTTATTCAGTATAAATTTAAATTAATAGCATACATCAATTTTTTCCCTAACTAATCTCCTCATTTAAAAGAGTGAAAAAGACCAAATCAGCATAGCAACAATTCAAAAAATAAAATTGTTTAAATCATATTAATGAATCGAGTTCAAATATATTATTATATCTCTTCTCAATAACAATTTATCTTTTCTATTTTTTACATAAATCAAGCCATAGCTTTATTAGAAACAAGATTATATAACGTAACTAATTCACCAACCTTTAAAAATATAATCAAAAGATGTGGTATAATCGATGAAGTTACTCTTTTTTTTTTATCAATGTTTTAATTTCGATTCTTGAATTGAAAAAAAATATCTTAATAAAGAACTTTCCTGAATGAGCATTATGTGGCGCAAATTTAAATCAGTTGGATTTCAATATAAATATTCACTGTCAAATATTTTATTTGTAAAAAAAAAAAACTTTAGAACTAGAAGGGGAAAGGACATGTTGAACTAATATTAAAATATATAAACATCTATATAAATTGATAGTGGTAACATTTTTTTAAAAAAATTTAACAAAGTAATATCACATAACATCGATCTAACTACGATTATTTCTCCATAAGGTGAATAAATCTGGAATGCCAAATGGCTAAAAGAACAGAAAAAAAATCCATAACTCCTTTTAAAAAGTGTGCTATCCAAAGCTTTTCTCCCTATTTAAACCTACCATACTACTATATTAAACAGTCCTAAAAATCACTTTCCTCCCACCCAAAAAACAATATCTATCTTCAGAAAATAAAATAAAAAATAAAAAATCTTCAAGAGTCTGCATTTTTATCTGTAAGTTCCAAAATTCATTATATTTTCTTCTATATTTTTATTGTTAGCATTTCTTCTGCTGAAAATAGAAAAAAAGAAGAAGAGAAATTTACTAAAGTATAGCTCTCTCTGTTTTGGTTTTCTCTGAATTTTCAAAAGAATTTGCTCTGAATTTTAAATTTTTTTTTAATTATCTTCAGATAATCAACCAAAAAAAAAAAGTAAATTCTGGAGGCTAGAATTCAATAGTTTTGATCCTTATCCTATACTTGTATTTATAAATTTCGAGATAAAATTTGAGTACATTCTATACTTTTCAGATTCCACTTGTGGAATTACACGCAATATTTTTTTTGTTGTTGTTATTTCGAACCTACTAGACTGTCTGTTTTAGAATTCAGAACTCATAAACTCAAAATTTTAACTCCGCTTTTAAGTCTTTGAATTTTTGTTTTAATTTTGGCTATGTTTTGTTGAAGGAAAAATGCAGAGGAGATCCAAAATGGGATTCTTGATGAGAAATTTTCTAGTTTTATTTTGTTGGATTATTTTAGCTGTAAATGCAGAAGAATACATTACATACAAAGATCCAAACAAGCCCTTAAACAGAAGAATCAAAGATTTAATGAAAAGAATGACTTTGGAGGAAAAAATTGGGCAAATGATACAAATTGATCGTACTGCTGCAACTCCAAAGGTTATGAACAAGTACTACCTAGGTAAAAAAAAAAAAACAGACAGTGACGGATTTAGAGTAGACGTGACCAGTGGGTTCAGTTGAACCCGCTGGTTCTAAATTCTGAATCCGTCACTGTTTGTTTTAAGATATTTTGTTGTTTGAGTTTGTTTATGTATACAGTATGATTTTCTGATGAAAGGGATTCAGTTAGGACCCCATTTTGATAAATGTGGCTTTGTGAATGGGTGCAATGGGTTTGGTTGGATCTACTGATTTTAAATTCTGAATTTGATGTTATAGAGATGGTGTTAGAATTTGAAGTTTATGAGTTCTGAACTTATTATCGAACTCATAGCTCGTTTTAGTTACTAGTGTCATAATCGAGTTGTTTTATATGTTTAATGAATTTCCTAATATAAATACAAGATCTAAGTAGAAGTTACGTGATGAATTAGTTTCAACGCGTCCCTAATATTGTAGTTCTGCCCTTGCTATAGCCTGTAAACATACAAAAGAGTCTATTTTTAAAAATATTTTGTTATGTGACGTTATCGATTTTCTAGCAATGTGGATTCAGTTGAACCCCTTTTTGATAAATATGGTCTCACCACTAGATGCCATGGGTCGTTTCTAAATCCGGAATCCGTCACCATTTTATAATACTTCGCTATGTGAATTCACCTGTATATATAGTATAATTTTTCAACAAAACAATACAGTTAAACTCCTTTGATAAATATGATCATTTCTTTACCGAATCTACTAATTCTAAATCCTAAATTTGTTATACACGTAAATGACCATTTTTCAATAATTTGCTATGTGAATTTATCTTTATACACGATATAATTTTTTGACAAAATGAATACAGTTGAACCCCTTTAATAAATATGACTTATTATAAAATCTACTGATTCTAAATCTTGTATCCGTCTTTTTTTATGAGCAGGGAGTGTGTTGAGTGGTGGAGGAAGTGTGCCTAAGAAAGAAGCATCAGCAGAAGATTGGATTGATATGATAAATGGTTTTCAAAAAGGTTCATTATCAACTAGACTTGGTATACCTATGATTTATGGAATTGATGCTGTTCATGGCAACAACAATGTCTATAAAGCTACAATTTTTCCTCACAATGTTGCTCTTGGAGTAATAAGGTAAATTGTCTCGGAACAACGATAAAATTATAATTAATGGATCACGTGTTACATCAGAATAAGTTGTCTACATTAATTACACCCCCTAGCTAGGTATGACCCTATGTGTTCGGCTGAAACTAATAGCTTTAGTCTAGACCCTTGATTAGTTTATTCAGAATCCAATAAGCTGTCTTTTCTATCGTCTGAAACCGATAAACTTGAAATTCTAACTTAGCTTTAGATCAATGTGAAATATTTTATGCATCAAACTTGTATTTTTTCTTTTTTGTTTTTATCATAAATTGATGATTAGCTAACTTTTTATCAATTATTTTTGGTTAATTAATAGGGATCCTCAATTGGTCAAGAGGATTGGATCTGCAACTGCATTAGAAGCTAGAGCAACTGGAATTCCATATGTTTTTGCACCTTGTCTTGCGGTAATGTTCCATCAACTACTAGTATTTTTCTTCTACGTACGTTGCTCGGATTTTTTAAAAATATCGCCAGATGCATGTTAAAACCTTCAAAAGTAGTACATTTTAAAGAATTTGACACGAATGTGATAACATCTTTGGGAAGTCCAAACAATATAGATTTTCTTCAACAACTTTTTTTTTTTTAAAAAACAGTTTTTTACCACCTAATGTTGTAGTGAGTTGATTAATACCCTCTTCATCTTTAGCCACATGTTTTTGGTTCGAGTCATATGAATAAAATCATCTTTAATAGGGAGTGCATTACCCCATAAAATGAGACTTCCTTTGCGATTTTGGATTAGTCAGATTCTGAAATGAGTACCGAACGTTGGATGTAAAACAAACAAAATTAATTTTCTTCCATATTTTCTGATCAATTGACTCAATTCCCTTGAATTGAGATTTCTATTATGGATTTAAGTTTTATGCATTGATAGTTAGGTAGGTAACTTGGTGAAAATAATTAGTAACCGATCATCATAGGTTAAAATTAGGATGCACAGATTCTTCAAAAGTACATAACTTTAAAAGAATCTCAAACACGTCAATTTATATAATTAATTTTTTTTTTATACAGTATTAATAATTTAAAATTTGTTGATCTAGGTTTGCAGAGATCCAAGATGGGGCAGATGTTTTGAGAGTTATAGTGAAGATCCAAATATTGTTAGGTCAATGAGTGAAATGGTACCTGGATTACAAGGAGATGTTCCTTCTAATGGTAGATTAGGAGTCCCTTTTGTTGCTAACAAGTAAGTTCTTTTTATTCCCTTTGAAATTTAATTTATATGTACTGATAATATTTTTAGTTGATCGATAAAAGAGTAAAATTCACTCGCTTCGTCCGGGGCGGAGCAAGAGGATAAGAAATTACTTCATTTTGTAGTGTTAGTTCACATATAAGTTAGACCACCAATACCTATTCTACAAGTTTAATTTCTTGATCTATCTATGTTTAATTAATGTTGACATTATTTGTTATTAAGAACACATTATTAGCTACTATTTCACTTTTGGTTCATGTAGTGTGTGCACTATTTAAATTATTTAGTTCATAATTAATCATGATGTGGATTTGATCACAAAAGATATTTTTGGCATAATTCACATGGATTTTCATAAAAGTCCATAACCTTGAATTCAATCAACCCACATGCATACAATAATGATTAATTAAGTCAGCATTTTTCTTTTTACTTTATTGGATTTCTTGTCATATATATATATTGGAAAGAAGGTGGAGATTACTTTTTATAATCACTCCGCTTCAGTCTCAAATAAATTAAAGTATATGTGTAAATTTTTATTCTTGTATCTTTTTTCTAATATCCAACAAGAATTCATTATAGATTAATTAGTTTTATGCTGATTGTTATAAATATAAAGTCATACTAATTTTTTATTAAAAATGTTCAACCTGATATATAATGTAATTTTCTTGCAAAGAGATTCTTTAGTGTTGGCCTGATTTCCACCTATACAACTCTCCTCCTTTATTATCATTGATGGATTTTTTTAACTTCACCATAATAAATAAATAAATTAAAATTAAATACGAAATTCAATATATTTATATTTTGCTAAACAATTTATAACTAATATAATCTTTTGATAATTTATATTAATTCATCGTTAAATAAAATTAGCATCAATAAAATAATTTTTTATTGTTTAATGACAAAAGTTGTTGATAACTATTCCTACTTTTTTAGTGCTTTTTTTTTTTTTTGAAAAAAAAGTGGGGTAACTGATTTCTAAAAGTAAGGCATGTGATTTGGAACTATTTGGTATATATAGCATAGGATATGGTTTTTGTGAGGCATGTGATTATGATACATAGAGCCAATAAGAAAAAGACAATAATTGTGAAACAAACTAGGTGCAAAAATTTCAATTTTTTTGGTCCATTTGAATTGTGACACACAGACAATTTTTTTTTGTTTTATGGGCTTTTGTAGCATGACATAGACTTAGTCACATGGACCACTTTTTCCACTTATTAGAAATAAAAAAAAAAGAAGGTGATGTGTAATATAAAAAACACAAGATTTCTACCTAATACATTATTCTTCAATTAAAAAATTATATATTAATGTTGGAAGGCAACAATTATTTAAATAATATATAGAATGCGGGTGTCATCTGCATACCTCCGACCTCTCCAGACCCTACTTATAAAATTATAGATCGTATCTTATTGTTGTTGTAGAATGTGGGTGTGATGTGTGTATGGTGTTTTTACGTGTCTGGTTATGTTACGACACGTGTTGCATTGTGAGTGCCACGTGTCAGACACTTCCTAGGATGAAGTACAACGTGTTCAAAAGTCGTAAAAAGTACTAACCTTGAAGATTGAATTCATCAAGTCTAAATTCTAGACTCGTCTTTTATCACCTTTCAAATTTAAGTGTATAATTGAAACTTCAAAACAAGTTGATGCCTAATGTAGCATCTATGTATTATCCCTATACAATGATGTACATAGATAGCTACATAGAGTGAAAGACAGTCAGTTGAACACCCTTTATCAGAAAATTATACTCTGCATATATAAGTCAAAAAATACATTTTATACACTTGTACTAAACCTCGAACGCGTATGTTGTTGTTGTTGCTAAACCTCGAACGCGTGTGTTGTTGTTGGTAAACCTCGAACACTATGTTGTTGTTGCATTGTTACTAACCTCGAATGTGTTTTAACGAAATTTCTGGCTCCGTCACTGTTATTTGTTACAGGCAAAAGGTGGCTGCTTGTGCTAAGCATTATGTAGGAGATGGTGGGACAGTAAAAGGAATCAATGAAAACAATACAATTATTGATAGACATGGTTTGCTTAGTATACATATGGCAGGTTACTATAGTTCAATCATCAAAGGTGTTTCTACTGTTATGGTTTCATATTCAAGTTGGAATGGTCTCAGAATGCATGAAAATAAAGAAATGGTTACTGGTTTTCTTAAAGGCACACTTAGATTCAGAGTAAATTCCTAATTCTGTCCTCTCTTTGTGAATTTAACTACCTGTATGTTGCTCGGACTCTTCAAAAATGTTGTTGTATCCATGTCGGATTCTCAAAAATACATTTATTTTGGAGTATTTGATACGGATACAACAACATTTTGTAGTGTTTATAGATGCAACCTATGTTGCTTAGACCCTCCAAAAATGTTGTCGCACTGTTTTGGAAGATCTAACACAAGTATGACAATATTTTTGAAGGATCTGACACGGTGTGGAAACTTTGTTGGAGGATACGAGCAACATTTTAGTGTTTAAAAATGCAACCTATATTGCTCATGGAACCTCTAAAAGTATTGTTGCACCCGTGTCTAATTCTTCAAACATTTTAGAGGGTCCGAGCAACATTATAGTGTTCAATAGACACAACCTATATAACTCGGAACCTCCAAAAGTATTGTTGCACCCCTGTCTAATTCTTCAAAAAATTTGGAGGATCCGACATTAGTGCGATGACAGTTGTGAGTGACTCGAGCAGCATAGGATGCAACTAGATGGGATTTCAAATTTAATATTATGAATGTTGCTCTGGTCCTTCAAAAAATGCAATTGTTTTGGAAGTTCGAGATGATTGTGATGACATTTTTGGAGGATCCGAGCAACATAGGATGCAACAAGATGGGAATTTCGAACTAACTTTGTGCATGTTTGTGTCAGGGGTTTGTTATTTCAGATTGGGCAGGAATTGATAAGCTTACTTATCCTTGGCATACAAACTATACATATTCCATTCTTGAAGGTGTCAATTCTGGCATTGACATGGTTAGTAACTAATCAATTTATATCAAAATGTATATCCATTTTATAATTTGTGCACGTTGTGCGCGAATCAACGATATCTGTAATAGCTGTTTAAATTCTGAATTTGTCTCGTACTATCACACGATTTTACAACATGAAGAACGAGTTTCGACTTGATTTACATGACCTTTAAAGAACTAATGTTTGCTCTTTTCCTGGTTGTATATTGTAGGTTATGTTGCCTTACAACTATACAGAATTCATTGATGGTTTAACATATTTAGTGAACAATAACTTTGTTCAAATGACTCGAATCGATGATGCAGTCAAGAGAATTCTCAGGGTGAAGTTCCAAATGGGACTTTTTGAGAACCCTCTTGCTGATTATAGTTTGACGAAATATCTTGGATGCCCAGTAAGTTCAATGTGTAGCGATAACTGATAGGGAAAATGTTTAAAATTGTTCGATTTTGCCTTCCTTTACATGTTTGGCCCGTTCATACTCTTGTCGTTACCAATTGTCTCATACTTGTCATTGCCACTAACGGAGCTCCAACATAAGACGATGGACGCCACATGTCCTAACGTTGGAGCTCCTTTAGGGGTCAAGGGAAAAACTGGAACTTCTTTCTAACGATTGGGGTAAAACTAAACCAAAAGGTCAAATGAAGGACAAAGATGCTCAATTTCTTGATCGTTTTTCCTAGATGAGATAACAAGTTATAAACTCGGAAAAAGTAAAATCTTGAATTCATCTTTGTTGTGTTACAATCTTGTAGGAACATAGAGAATTGGCAAGAGAAGCAGTGAGAAGGTCACTTGTTTTATTGAAAAATGGAGCAAATGCAGATGAACCAGTTTTGCCACTTCCAAAAAAAGCAACAAATATATTAGTTGCAGGAGCCCATGCTAACAACATGGGCTACCAATGTGGTGGATGGACCATTACATGGCAAGGACTTAGCGGAAACACAACAATTGGTACATTTCTTATCCCTCAACGTTGCTCAGACTCTTCAAAAATGTCGATATGTGCATGTCTGATCCTCCAAAAGTCGTGCATTTTTCAAGGATCTAACACGGACACAACAACATTTTTTAAGGATCTAACACGGACAGAACTCCAAAAGAGTACAACAATATTGTACATTGATCAATTAGCAACTTTTTTTGACAGGTACAACAATCCTCTCAGCCATAGAGAACACAGTTGATCCAGAAACAAAAGTTGTGTACAAGGAAAATCCAGATAGCGAATTCGTCAAGTCCAACAACTTCTCCTACGCTATAGTCGTGGTGGGAGAGACCCCATACGCGGAAGGTTCTGGTGACACCCTAAACTTAACAATCCCTGCGCCTGGTCCAGACATCATGACCACAGTTTGTGCCTCGGTGAAATGTGTCGTTGTGCTTCTCACGGGGCGTCCAGTTGTGATCCAACCATACCTAGCTCAAATGGATGCAGTTGTAGCAGCTTGGTTACCAGGAACAGAAGGACAAGGTGTAGCTGATGTCCTGTTTGGTGATTATGGTTTTACTGGAAAACTAGCAAGGACTTGGTTCAAGACTGTTGATCAACTCCCTATGAATGTTGGTGATTCACATTATGACCCTTTGTTCCCTTTTGGATTTGGACTTACCACTGAACCTGTCAAGGCCTAAAACAACTGTTTTTTTTTTCTTTTTTCACACAATCAAACAACAAGAGGTCCAAACATACAACAACTATTATGTTACCAATTTATGATATGAGTTTAGTGCAAAGATTGCATATGTAAAAGAGGCAATGTTGTTAGAAACTTTGATAAGTGGAGTAATGGAAATGGAACTCTTTTTGCTTTGTTATGTGTTTTTGTAACTTACAATAAAATTAGGGGGTGGGGGTGGGGGTGGGGCTACGGTGGCAGAGAAGTGGTCAGTTGAATACCCTTCATCGAAAAAACCTCTGTTTCTACATGCCGAATTAAAGATTTCGAGTTCTACTTCTGAGAATGGAATCACCTTTAATAGGAAATGTTTAATTCTTAAAGTAAAAATTTTTAACACGAATTTGAATTAGTCGAATCATAAAATAGATACCCAACACCAAATAGGAAGCAAAAGAACAGACAAACCATCCTCCTGATAACTGATAGCTATTGTAACATGTAAACCACATATACTAAATATTATAGTTGTTTAATACTTCTCTCTTGTATCTTATTTTATTTTAAGGTATTTGGTACGAATTTAAAAACTTTGCTGACATATGTAAAGTATAAAAAATAATTCCTATTATTATATGAATGGTGGTAACTATTAAATGTTTCGCAAAAAAATAGTATGTGTATAGTGTATTATGTCAACATGCATGTGTATAGTGTATTTACTACAAAATTCAAAAAATCGAAATACGTTTCGTAATTATTTGATACTACCATAGTTATATGGAGTATCATATATCATCAAAGGATGTAGTGTTATTGCTTCTTCATTAATCAAGAGTTCTCGAGTTCAAGTTTTAGATATAAAAAAAATCCTCTATGAGGAGCGTTTTTTCCTGAATGAAAATCTAAATTATCTAACTTCAATGCAGTTACAAAACACATAAATCATTATGTCATAAAGACATTCTATTTCTTGAAACTGTATCTAAGATTCACCATTCTTCAATTGTAATTTACGAAAAAATAATCAAAATTATTAGAATAATAATTCAAAGTTGGAGTAGGATTCCTAAATTGTTTAGAATTTGTTATTTATTTAATTAATATCTAATTAGGATTTATTTATTTCATATATAAATTTATTTTCTAATCCTAATTTAATTTGGTTTCTTACTATTATAAATATGGACGTATTTAGTTATTTTCAATACGCAAAAATATAGGGGAAAAAAAAGAACAAGATACAAATAGTAGAAAAGTCATCATTCGCCAGGCAAGTTAGGAGAGACAGCGTTTGAATCTTTCTCCAATTCCAGCGTTGTCTATCCTATTGTCTCCTCAAGAATCTTCAAAGAAACCCCATTACCTAAATTCCCAAATTATCAATTTCAATTTTTTCTCCTTTTTTCTTGTTGTTGTTTACAAAGTTATCAATTCAATGGGTACACCAGAATTCTCAAATCTTGGGAAGCATTGTTCTGTTGAGGATTGTAGGCAGATTGATTTCTTGCCTTTTACCTGTGATTGCTGTTACAAGGTACCCCTTTCTTTCTCTCTTTACCATTTGTGCCATTTTTTATTTTCTTTTATGCATTGATTTACTGTCTTTTTGTTAATTTTGTGTTGAAATCTTTATTGGTTTTGAGTTTTTTGATCTGGGGTGTGATAAAGTTCCAATCTTTTTGGTCCACAGGAAAAAAAATAACTTTTTTTTCCTTTTATACATGGATTCACTGTCTTTTTGTCAGTTGTGTTGAAATCTTTCTTGTTTTTTTTAGTTTTTTGATCTGGGGTTTTATTAAAGTTTCAATCTTTTGTGGTCCACAGGAAAAAGAACATTTTGTTGGTGTAGTTGTTTGGTTGATGTGGGGGTGGTAGGAATAAAAGGTACTTTTTGTTTTTGAGTTTTTTGATCTGGGTTTATATCAAAGGTTTAATCTTTTTGGTCCATTGGGAAAAGATGGTGTAGTTGTTTGGTTGTGGTTGTGGTGGGGTGTGGGGGGTGTGGTAAGGGTATTCTGAGAATTTTGCTTTGTTGGAGATATTAGGTTCAAGAAAATGTGAAGGATTGAGTAATCAAGAACATGACAAAGTTGAGCTGAAGCTTAGGATCCAAACTATGACACATTTTTTTAATGTTGAGCGTGTTATGCTATTTCATGAGGTGATCAGATTTTGAAATTTCAGCCTCTTGCAGAAATGCAGGGTAAGGCTGCGTACAATAGACCATTGTAGTCCTTCCCTTCCCCGTAGCGGGAGCTTAGTGCCCCAGACTGCCCTTTTTTACCAGATATTGAAATTTGAACAGTAGTGAAAGGGAGGTATAGTCTAGTAGTTAACACTTTCCACTTCAAACCATCTCCACAAATCATTAGGTTGAGATTCAACTAGCAAAGTGGAAAAGGACCATTTTCAAGTGTATGTGTATGAAGCAGGATTGTTTTTTTACCTAGGTTTGTATCAAAGTTTAAATCTTTTTGGTGCATAGGAAAAAGAACCTTTTTTTGGGTATAGTTGTCTGGTAATGGTGGGAGTGGGGGTCAGGGTGTGGGAGGAAAAAAATTATAATCCTGATGTTTTCTGAAGATTTGCTGTGTGTGAGAAATTGGATTAAAGAAAACGTGAAGGATTGAGTAATCAAGAACATGACAAAGTTGAGTTGAAGCCTAGGAGCGAAGATATGACACATTTTGTTTCATTTTGAGCATTTTATGCTTTTCCTCCTTCCATACTATCTAAGTTACATATAAGTCGAAGTGCAGCAGCTGTCCGCTGTGTCGATGAGGAATTATGTAGCATTCATTAGGTAGAGATGGAAACAGTTGATGAAGATAAACAATCCAGTGATTAGGGAGGTGTGTTGTCTAGTAGACCTCCCTCTACCTCCAACAATAAGGTTGAGATTCAAGTAGCAAAGTGGGAAAGGACCATTTTTTCGGCTCCTCGGTAGGAGAGTTTGGGGATTGGGATTTTACCATATCAAAAAATTTACAGAAAAAGGAAAGGAAAAAGATTAAATCATTTATTGTATATAAAAGCTTGCAATCAATTTTTTATATACAATAAATGATTTAATCTTTTTCCTTTCCTTTTTCTGTAAATTTATTGTATATAAAAGCTTGCAATCAATTGCCCCCAAGGCCTAGCTCAAGTGGCAAAAGGTGGAGGATTTGTGGCTTAGGTCACAGGTTCAAGCCCCACACCATGCAAAGCAAAGCCCGGTATTTAAGTGGAGAAGGGTAGAGGGGCGGGCCCATTATCCACCGAGTTTAGAAGGCTGTGATTGGTCCAAAGGGCGGGTCACAGACGGATTTCTCGGTTATCAAAAAAAAAGAAGCTTGCAATCAATTGTTCGTATGATACAACAAGAGAGGATGAAGTTTTGAATATTGAACTATTGGTCTTAGTATTTCCATGATTATTCTCATGTAATGTGCATCTCGGAGTACCAGTAGTTGATGTGCTTCACATGGGATTAAACTTTTTTTTTTTTTTTTAATCGAGAAATCCATCTGTGACCCGCCCTTTGGACCAATCACAGCCTTCTAAACTCGGTGGATAATGGACCCACCCCTCTATCATTCTCCACTTAAATATCCGGCTTCACTTTGCATGGTATGGGACATGAACCTGCGACCTAAGCCACAGATCTTCGACCTTTTGCTACTTGAGCTAGGCCTTGGGGGCTGAAAGGAATACCGGGCTTCGTTTTGCATGGTGTGGGCTCACATGGGATTAAACTTTTACCTCTGTTGTTCCGTCTTTATTCTGAAATTTAAAGCTTAATGTTCCCGAACTTGTAATGTGGCTTTCAGAATGGAGATATCAGGAGTTATTCTAAACTTGAATAGCCCGTATTGGTTCTATATAGGCCAGACCGATGAAGCATTGACAGAATCACAATTTTCTTTCATTTTCAATATTCCAACTAGTATATACTGGTTGCGCTTCTGCTTATGTTTTAGAAACTCTCTCAGAAGTAATAAGCTTTAAATGACATTTTTTCTTGCTTTTATCAAAAAGAATATTGACTACTTTAAGTAGAGATGTCCTTGCTTCCTTGCTCTTACGAGTTACGGGTCTCAGTGATCTGGTATAATATCTTAGTTTCTTTTATAGATTGTTAATAGTTGAAACAAGAATTGTACTGGTTCTAATCCCAGATATCTCTTTTGCTGTCTCTATGGTGGTGGCTTTCGGTTGAGTATCATATGTTTAAATCTGTTAGGAACGAACTGCAAGTCGATGATATTCTGTATGATGGACTCAACTTTGTTTATTCGTAACATAATTGGGACTAATTTATGCTGAATGTGTTAACATACAATACTTCTTTGCAGGTGTATTGTTTAGATCATCGAAGCTATATTAGACATCAGTGTCCAACGGCTAACAAGAATAATGTTACAGTGGTCATTTGCCCGCTCTGTGCAAAAGGGGTACGCCTAAATCCTGTTGAAGACCCAAATATAACTTGGGAATCACATGTGAACACCGAGTGTGATCCATCGAACTATGAGAAAGCCACAAAGAAAAAAAAATGTCCTGTGCCTCGCTGCAAAGAGCTCTTGACTTTCTCCAACACAATTAAATGTCGGGATTGTACTGTCGATCATTGCTTGAAGCACCGGTTTGGACCTGATCACAGCTGCCCCGGACCTAAGAAACCAGAATCTACTTTCCAGTTCATGAACTTTCTGAATGGAAGTAAAGAAGAGTCGAAGAAAGCTCAGCCCACGACGACCTCAAGGTGGACCACGAGCCTTTTAAAGGTAGTAACATCTGTAAAGGAAAAGTTCAACAGTGAATTTAATCAACCACAGCAGACGGGGCAAAGCAGCCGCGCCACCAACCACAGCGTTACTAACAACAGCAGTCAAGTAGAGCCATGCCCACAATGTCATCTAAGATTTTCTACGGTCAGAGCTCTCATCGATCACGTGCAGAAAGTACACGAGAAGAATGGTGTTATGAACATGACAATCGATGTCTGCCCGAGGTGTAGTAAAGGTTTTCGAGATCCTGTTGCCCTTGTGGAACACGTTGAAAGGGAACATAAAGGAAGTTCTATGTAAACAAGCAAACAACAACATGCTTGTAGGATGTACACAAATCTTACTCCTACCTTTGCGAGGGTAGGGAGGCTGTTTCGAAATTTTTTATATGTAAAGAAGCAAAAGTACATAATTTTTTTTCTTG